GGAGATTTACTGAGCTTTGTTTTAATTCAAAATTCGCGACACATACATTTAGATTGAATTCATCAGCTTCCAGAATTTTATAAATAAACGAACTTTACGACAATTTGTAGTTCTTTGTGAAATTAAATATTTATCGTGTCTATATTTTGCTGCGTTCAAAATAAATCTGATGTATTTTTCTTTTTTTCGATCTTAATATAGGATAAAATGATTTTCATAATTTCACATGCAGCTTAAAATTTGAATTTTCAGAGAAAGTATTTTATTGTTCTCATGTTTGCCCAGGTAAATTCTAATTCTAGATCATAAAGAAAGGTACGGTAAAATTTATATGGCAATAGATTAAAAGTTAAAATTAATAAGAATATCTTCCGAAAATAAAAGTAGTTAGAATATTATTCTGACTGAGATATTTATAAATATAGAAAAATCTTAGGAGTTAGGACAAAGATATTTGAACCCAAGTGAATCATGATATTTCTGTGATAGAACTGTTTAAAGATGCCTCCATGAAGGTTGTATATAATAAAATATACTTTTAACGTATGCTATACTTAAGGTTTAAAGTATTCAACATCATGGAAATGCAATCGTCAAGACATGACATTGCATTAGACATGAAACAAATTCTCGTCTCTGGCTGTTGACTTCAATGTCCAATGAGGTTAATGATTTAAATACATGTCACTGATTTTGAGATTTATTGTTATTGTTGTTGTTAATATTTTTATTAATGCTATTATAATTAACTACAAAAAGATAATGGAATTACTAGAAATATCTAACTATAACGATATCCCAAACTATCATAGATATGATCAGAACTAAAAACTAATGATTCTGAACCAGTATAGTAAATTCTATTAAATAAATTGTCAAACTCTTCCGTACAATATATTTTGGAAACTTATAAGAATTAATGAAAAACGTATATATGAATACAAAAATGATAATATACATAATTTATCAAATGTATTAAACATACATAGAAATTAATCCAAGCAGATTCGATCTAAAGAATGCTATACTAATTAGAAAAAGTAAATAAATTACTTAAACGAAGATTTCTTGAGAATGCCGTTAACGAATCTTGCCAAAATATAGATGAGCGTCACAAATGTTTTCAAATAACTTCTTTACTACGCGAATGTAACTGGACATAAAAATAATAAAAACAATAAAAGAAAACGTTTATATAAAAAAAAAAACAAACTTCTATTATTTAAAATAAACAAATATATGACTTCATTTCTCAAATTATTAAAAATAATCAGTAATAATTATAATAAAAAAATCAATAACAACATTTACTCCGTTTTGTTCAATAGGCATAAAATTAAATCATTTAGCATTCTGTACAGCCTACCTTGACATTCAAGGTTAGCCTGAGGATATTTATGGACGTCCTGAAATTTAAAGATTTTTGAAAACCTAACGAAATGTTTACATCTGAAGATCGAGGAGACGAAATCGCAGTAGCATAGTGAAGATAATTGATAATGATAAAAGCAAGGTTAGTCATTTATTTATGTGAAAACATTCGGTATTCATTGGCATGGCACTTAATGCTTGCTGTAGGTTGAACTTTATAAAATCTTTCTCTTAAAACAATACTGATAGCAGTTATTGTTCTTTCTTTTAGTGGCAAGGAATTTCTTTCCAACCTTTTTTTGGTGGGGTAGTCTGAAATGTCAGCATCTTGATTGTTTTTATTATCATTATTATTATCTTATTATTTTTTTCCAATTACATGCGATATTCATTTTAAATGTTGCTGCTGTTGAAACTCCAAAGGTAATGTGGGTTATGTTATTTGGAAAAATGCATTGTGAACTTGTAATACAATTTCATGAAGTTCGAAGAAGGATGTTCTGCGCGAAGACCTACACACGTCACTCGCTCTAAGCCATTTTCAACCATACAACTGAGAAAGTGGTTGCCTATTTTCCGACAGTTTAGATAAATCTGAACAAGTTTGTCTACATGCTGGCATCCACATGAAATCTCCATCTGACGAGACGATTTAAGTACATATCCCTAGTTTTGAAGTTAACATTTTGGTTTTATATTTACCTTCCGGTGATGAGTGAAACTGCTCCTAGCCCTTTCTATGTTCAATTTCCTTATCTCCTTTATTAATGTTTTTTGTAACTTATCTATACACAGAAAAATATGAAATGTTTAATATTTATTAATTCTATATCTTTCTATTTTTTATGAATCATTCAAAGTACTCATCGTCATTGCTCTCACACAAACTTCAGATGGTGTCTCTGTTTTGGAAGAAGTTTTGACTCCTATTCCTTGAAATATTTAGTAAAGAATGCGGTTCATTTATTCAAGTTTATTCTTTTCCCATTTATGAATGGCCGTGTCACCAGCATATCCTACTTATTCTCTATACATTGGTCTCGGGAGGAGAAGCAAAAACTCTGTTTTCGATTAGTGGATTAATTTGGGTATGGACTGTTTAAGACATCAGTGTACATCTACTGTCTTCTTTGTTTGCATATATGCAGACCATAATCGATAAAGAGATTAGATCGATTGGATCTCACGTTTACTGCTTATTGTACTCCAGATGAGGTTTCGAATATTTTGGTACTGGGTCAATCATGCGGCATGTGATTCTAGGGAGAGTATTGTTCTTCTATCTGATCTACACATTCACTGGATCTGATTCTTAGAAGCTGGATTCTAAAAGATGAGAAGAATTGTTTTTGTTGTAGTCGTATTCTACTTTGAGGTCGACATATATATTTTTCTTGGAGAGGTAAGTAGTTCACTGGAGTTGTTTGATGACATATATGCCATCATTACACCCCTTACAAGAGCGTAATCCAAACTGGGTTTTAGAGAGTTTATTTTCATAGAACGGTGTCAGAAGCGTTAATACAATGCTCCTTAATATCTTCACAATATTTCAATTGGAATACCTGTGCATATGTGCGAGTCTTGTGGGTTATTTTTTATACGGTTTTGTTGCACGATACACCTAGCATTTTTGAGAGGCATTTCTGTAATAAGGGTAGGATATGTTCAAAAATTGATCACTTCTTTAATACGGGTACGATATGTTCAAAAGTCCATCGTAAATGTCAGATGATGTACTAATATGTTATAGACTTTTATAGATATATCTTTACTCCCTCATCATGAGGTTCTTAATGGTATTTGTTTGGAGACAGATATTGTAATACTTGGATATATTTTCTTTTACCTTCGAATTCTGCGGGCATCTTCATCTTAGTGTGATCAGGGATGAAATGTGACTTGAAGGGATTTTTCAGACAAGCAATTCTCTTTTATTTTAGTTTCGATTGTCATATGTTATTATATTTAGTTTTTCCCATCATTTCAACACAATATATTGGCTGTTTGGCTTCATTAATAAATGAATGAGTTTCATTTTTCTGTGGTATTTATTTCTGATAGCGTTAAATAGATTTTTCTATTTCTTTGTTATTTAGTAATTTACATTTCATTTATGCCTCTCCCTAGTTTCACACTTCTTCAATAGCGCTAGATAAAAGGATTGTAAGTAAATTCATCTTCAGGCATTTTCTAGATTCTAGCAAACATTACTGACACAGTTGACATTGCTAAATATTTCTATTGTACTTATTCATTAGAGAAGAAAATAATATCCGATATTTATTGAAGGAGACCAGTGCAAACCGGACACGAAAGCTGCATCATGACACACACACGCACCAAACACACACACACACACACACACACACACACACACACACACACACACACACACACACACACACACATATATATATATATATATATATATGCACATTTCATTGAATAAGACAGACAAGGTGCTTTTATCTAGTATTTATACAATTTCTCATGTGATCTAATATTTTTTTCTATTCAGATGATAAGTTATATAAAAACTGTGCGAAATAGGTCAAATATTATTTACGAATTTAAATGCCTATTAAGGAATTGTATTCCTGATCAATCAAAATTCGTAAATAATTATATAGGCCCAACTACAACATGTCTGACACGCAGACTCACTTTACATCTTTCTGACAATAGCTCAATTATATCTCATTTAAATCTTCATGGAAACCTACTGAACACTATTCGTAACATACTTGTTGACAGCACTAATATAATAGCATCGTCTACATGCAAAAGAAAAAGAGTAAAAATAATAGAAGCCTTATTAATAAAAACAAAAAAACCAACACTTAATAATATTAACTTCGAACATGGACAAAATATCTTGACTGTGTTTTGAAAAATAAAAACATTTTAACAAAACATACATACAACAAACTCTTTCTTATTTAGCAATTAAAATATTTAATCCTTGAAAATGGTTAAATGTATAGCCGAAAACGCTTGGATAAAAAGAACATTCGGACAGTTATTATATAATTTATCATCTGAAAAGAAAAAAAAATTAGATCGCATGAGAAATTGTATAAAAAAAACTAAATAAAAGCATCTGTCGTATTCAATAAAATGTGCATGAAAGAAGGATTGTTGTCTCTCTCTCTCTCTATATATATATATATATATATATATATGCATTCGCCACTCGCGTCGTATGAGGGTCAAGCGGTTCAGTTCCTGGGAACCGACAACCAGACACCAGCACATGTGATTTTATTATAGTGGTAAAGGCTTTGCGCAGAACCATCCACACTTTTGGAAGGGCCGAAGAAAGAGCCCTGGTACACGTATATTCGGCCCATCCAAAAACGACACTCCGCAGGTTTTGAATTCAGAGTTGTCCTTCTCCTAGACCAGTTGCCATCCACTGCTCTAGAACCCAATAGCTGAAGGGAGAAGATGAGGATTCATACCTTTCCCAAGGGTATTAGCCCCTAAGTGAATGTAATGGATTCGACTGGAATTCGCACATCTTTCCGATTCCTCAATCCTAGCCGCTAACCATTACTCCACCGTGCCTCCTCTTATATATATATATATATATATATATATATATATGAAACACACACACACATATATATATATATATATATATATATATATTTATATATATATGTATAGGTGTGTGTGTGTGTTTATACGCACATACATACACACACACACACACATATATATATATACGCATAAATACATATATATATATATATATATATATATATATATACACCCACACATATATATTCGCACACACACACACACACACACACACACACACACACACACACACACACACACACATATATATATATATATATATATATATATATATGTGTGTGTGTGTGTATTTACTAATTACTCCAAACGTTATTATAGTGGACACTTCATTTAAAATAGAAGCTCCATTGTTATTTCCTTCCGTGTCCTATCCAGACACCTAAGCCAAAAATGACTTCATGACATTTTCCACTAATCATTTGTATAAAAAATACCTAAAAAAATGATCATAAACTTTTTGCATAAATAAAGCTCTTTGTCATATGTGAGCCGTAATTGTGAGTAATATCTTTTGTATTACATTAAGGCATGAGCTACCTCATGCCTTAATGTATGAGCAATCTCTTGAATGAGTCTATCGGAATCTTTTGCAATCATTCCGAAGACTCAAACTACGACTAGAATTATTGATGTCCTCATGTGCCACACCTTTTGAGATTTCCATTAAAACCTTGGATTTTTATGGTCTTCAAAAATGCATTGCAATCTGCAGGGACATTATTATTATTAGTAGTAGTAGTATTAGTAGTAGTATCTTTTTATTTATTAAATTACCTACTATAATTTTCCATGTTTCAATGAGTAGTTTCGAAAAGATGGCATAATTTAAACAAAATTTGAAAAAAAAAAAAAACTAGGAAGGCATATATTTAAGCTTTAAAAAGGAAGTGTAAAATGAAAAAAAAGAAACATCTTTTAGTCCCGGAAGATTTTATGATAAATGCTACTTGCATTGAGTAACTAATCAGATCGTAGCAGATTTAATTAACGGTGCTAGACATGTTCATAGCTAACTGCAAGTCAGTCTGGAAGTAAAACTTACTTCGTACGATTATATCTAAGAGAATGGTGTTGATCTTGAGTATGCTAAGCACCAGAGTCAATGTAATGTGTCAATTTTGTATTACTCGAAACTTCCAAATCGGGGAAATCAGCCTACGGTGAAGAAAATCATTTAGACATTGGATTTTACCTGAGTTTGAACAGTGATAATTTCAGTGTGAAAGGCACAAGGACATTATTCACGAAGTAAATGTACAACATGAAAAGAGAATATATGCAACAATAAACAGGTATATATTAATATGAATGTTACTAAAAATTATTAACTTGATCAAATTCTCAAAAAAGTTATTCTCAAAATTAATTTTCTAATATGGGAAGCGATTCGTCAAAAGTATGAAACCCCGAAAATGTAGGTCACTTGCGCCGAATCAAGTCTCTCTCTTTCTCTTTCTCTCTCTCTCTCTCACTTTCTCTCACTCACTCACTCAGGCTCTGTTTCTTTTTATATACAGTGTGGTGCAAACGTTGTTATTTTATTTTTGTGTCCTGTCACTGGATCTAACTAACGCCAGTGACAGGACCCCCAAAAATATGAGTTCAATACCCGGTTAAGGCAGTGGAGAACTTGGAGAGGGGAATTAACAAGAGATAACTGACAACTGACATCCGTTAAAACATGGCACGTGGAACTAGAACAGTCTACCCCGGTGAGCAAAATAAAGGGTTCAGTTCGACATTCCAACCACCTGAAGGAGGCCGGAGCGTACAACGGCCGAAACGTTGTAATAAATATGGCGACAAAGATGAGGACAATAGTCCGAATAATGTAAATAGTATAGGATTTATTATTATTGCTGTTTCTTTTTATATACAGTGTGGCGCAAACGTTATTATTTTACCGTATTATTATATTTCAGCTCAAGTATTTGTTAGAAGAAAACTCTTTGAATCTATAATCAAGTAGAATGTTGTTGATCACCTCAACAGAATATCCCTTGGACGAATATGAATATAAAAATACGAGTTTCTATTGTCTGAGTCCACTGCTGACAACCTTATTGTCATTACTAACAGAATCAATGAGGCATTTGTCAAATAAATCACGTGGATAATCGCATTAGATATATCAAAAGCCTTCGAGAAGGTGTGGCATAGAGGGGTTGCTAACGAATCTCTGGAATCTCTCGAATACAGGAACGTCCTTGAAGGTATCTTTTTAATGACTGGTCCACCGTATTCCATGAGATTAATACAGGCGCCCCTCTCAGGTATCGCTTCTTGATCCACTTTACTTTCTGCTTGTGAGTATACTTCGAACTTTTCTAAATATCCCTGCAGATATATTATAGTATATGGATGCACTTCTAATCTTCTAGATTACCAGATCCTGGCAACTAATATCCCTTTGACCTAACCCTATCAAATCAATAGAACACATCTGACATGAAACGTTCCCAATAACGTCAAAAATAAACTAATAACGTTCCATCATCAACAATCCATTCGTGAACTTTCGTCTATCACAATGAAAGTGTTCCGTGAAGGCAGCTCTTGGGATATAAGCTCAGCCGAAATTGCAAGTGGAATTCTTATATACGATCCATCGAAAAAGATGCGGAAAAAACGGTCGCTTCCTTTTACCAGTTCAGAAATTACCTGACTCCTCTCCTAGAACCAGATTTGGTCGAAAATTGATTATTACTAGCATATCTTCGCTGGAACTGCACACTCTTTACTTTCCAGTTTTGATACAGTTCAAAAGCATCGACTCGGCCTTGTGGATACTGAATTTCTACCCTACACTATTTCTATAGAGAATATTCAGAGGAGCTACATTCCTTGTTTCCACAACCCTAACCCTCACTACTAAGAACAACCCTGCCACGTATACTGAGGTAAAGTACACTCATTCCATTCTACCCACAAGGACTTATTCGCAAGAACTGCTATTTTCCCTGAGCATACAACTTATTCAAGTCGAGCGTTAACCGTTATCTTATCCTCATAAACTGCGATTCTTAGCTCTTAATATTAGCGCTCAACAAAGTATCTCCTTTAGTAAATATCTTCCACGAGTGGCTCTCCGAACTTGTATAGAGTGAAATTTGTAAATAATATATATATATATATATATATATATATATATATATATATATATGTAAAACTTGTTGTACAGTTTAGACATGATCTGTCTACTTATTTTCGATAAGATTCTTTCATACTCGCAGATAAGTTTTTGATGTTATTACTGGAAGAGGAAAGAAAATCGCCGTGTTTATACATATCAGCTTTATTACCAAGTACTTCGACATATGCATGTCATCATCAAAGTATTGTTTACAATAAAATAAATATTACAGTATCCATTATTATCTCTCTCTCTCTCTCTTTATATGTGTGTGTGTGTGTGTGTGTGTATTATAACTTTATATTTTCTTTTTTAAAAATAAGATTCCATAGTGATACAGAAATTTCTGTTTCAAAACTGAAGTTGATTTCATAAATGTAAATATAAAAATGAAACATAAAATCCAGAGTTCCGTTCCATAGTCTAGCGATGTTAGGAATAACTTTCTTAGACATTTACTTTATTTATAAGCACAGACAATTTTAATGAGTTGTTAAGGTTAAGGAAACTTCAATCTATTAGATTAGGGGTGGTTGGGTTTTAATTTCCCTAGACCGATTATGTATCCAATATATGTTACTTACAAAGTCCGGTTAAGTTTAGGTGGGATGGGGGTGAGTGCCTGTTAACAAATACAGACATCTCTTATTCAGCCATTCGGCTGGGTTTTCAATGACAAAGAATTAACATTTTTCTGAAATCATATTTTAAAAAAAAGAAAACAATTATATTTTGCTCTACTGTTTGTATCGCGTAGTGCTTTTTTTAAATAAAAATAATTGCTAACAACTCCGGATTAGAAATCTTACTGTTCTTTCTTATTATTTATAATATATATATATATATATATATATATATATATATATATATATATATATATATATATATATGTTTGTGTGTGTCTACGTGTGTGTGTCTGTGTGCACGAATCAACATTGTGCGCCGATACTGATAAATGCAAAATGTTGTTAGATTCATTGGCATCTTTGCTATTTGGACAGGGTATCCGTTCGAATTGCCAAACAGTAACAACGTATTTTGTTTGGCTATATGAAATATATAAATATATAATCTGTTAAAAATCGCGTGTCAGTAACTATTAAAAACTCGTGGAATGTTAGACAAACTCTTCGAAAAAGCTCGAAGCCTGAAAAAAACTTCCATCAGCTGTGTGAGACATTTATTCCTAACCATTCCACAGTAATTAGTGCAGCTCTCAACAATCCTTTCTATCATACAAAGAGCAAAGAATGAAATGACTACAGGTAATATTCTGTTCTCTTTTCTATCCTCCATTGCATCTTAAACCTTACTGGTTTCAAATAAAACAAGAAACAAATTCCGAAAGGCAACACATGCCTTTTGGGCACACACTGTTTTGTAGAATTAGCACCTATGGAAGTGCTACGTAATACTGATAGACAGAAGGGTGAGGTCTCTATTATAAGTTTAGATCACAGGAATATTATCAAGTAGTCTTCCGTCTAGTTTAATATAAATGCTAAATTGAACGCTCTCAAGTTATCAATCATATTCTTACAGCCAGAAACGTTTATTCCTTAATCTTTTACTGAATATGTTCAATATGCATGTAGTGATGAATGAAGACACAGTCTGTTTCTAATTGGATACAACCTCGTACAAATCAAAGTTGAAAGGATTGAAATAGGCTTGATGGATAACAGTTTGTACAGAGGACGCAGTCAAAAAGTATTGGATATTTGAGAGTTCAGACCGCAAAGTGTGTCTTCTCTCTCTTTTCTCCTTGCCTCATGAGCCTTGAATTTTTATGCACTATTCTAAGTCATAACCCGTCGAACACGCTTTTATTTTTTTTTATTCAGGTTTTGCAGAGGCGAAATCTGAATCACCTTCCATTGCTTTTCCCCAACAACAATGTGGTTTAGCTTTCGACTTGGCTTCTTTTATAATTGAACTTGACGTTTTACTTTTTTGCCTCTGCTTTCTCTCTGCTTCTTGAATTTTTCTAGAGATTCCCCGCTAAAATAGCAGACATTTATCAAGGGCGTTATTTGTGTGATTACCACCCCTCTTCTTTCTTTCTTTCTTTCTTTCTTTCACTTCATTCAAATCTACGGCTTGCGCAATGTACTTCTTTACTTCTTTCTCTTTCTCATTTTATTCGCTTCTTATGTGCTCATTGAATATCTATCTATCTATCTATCTATCTATCTATCTATTGTTTTATTCTCACCAGATGTCTATTTCTCTCTCTCGCATATATATATATATATATATATATATATATATATATATATTTATATATAATCATTTCACCTCAATCAAAGAGGGATGCCACTAGTACAAAGGGTTACAGAGTGGGAGCGTGAGTAAAGAGGCGTGATGGAGGAAAGGATGAAGAGAAGGATGGTTAACAGGTCAGGGCATCAAGAGATGTCGACTGACATTACATTTGAACAGTTGTAAATTATCGCTATCAGAGAAACAAGTAATAGGGAAAGAATTCCACAGACGGGAGGTGCGAGATATGAAGCTATTGGAGTAGAATAGACGGCCACATTTCGCTTCAACAATGAAAGGGTTGGACCGTGATGCTACTAGCATAGTAGCACGCTTAAATTCATGCAGTCTGGGAACTAGCGGAAGTAGCTTGTCGGTTACCGTGAAAGTATTTGTAGAAAAGACAGCGGGAGGTAACGGCACGTCTGTGAGAGAGCGACTGTAGACGAGATGCCATATCAGCACCAACAACATTGCTTATCCCTCTCTGGATCTTGGCGAGCACCTTAAGGCGAACAGCGGGGCACCAGAACATTTATGGCAGCAGTATTCCATACAAGGGCGAATTGTTGATTGATAAATTTGAAGGATGGACTCGGAGAGAAAAACTTTTTGGCGCGACTCAAGGAACCAACTTTCCTTGCGGTGGATGAAGCTATTGATTCAATGTGATTATTCCTTTTCGGTTCAGTAGACAGTGTGAGACCGCGCAAGTGCTCACGTGCAGATGAGCATCAGACATAGCAGGGATTGTTCCCTGTGGTGAGTAATACAGAGCAGTTTTGTTTTAGAGGCATTAATGTTAATCAGCCAATAGCTGCCCAACAAACGACTGGAGATCCTTTTCGAGACTAACGGCCAAGTTAGTTTTGTCAGCGATAACAGACTAAATAGATACGTCGTCAGCATAGATGCCTACTTGGGAACTGGTGATATCAGGGAGATCGTTAATGAAGATAAGGAACAGAGTAGGGCCTAGGATTGAACCTTGTGGAACACCTGCGTTCGTATGAAGGAACTGGAGGAGACTCAGTTTGACAGGAATTATCATATTAAGTCAAATAATCAACCTGATATTTAGTATCCCTTAATTTTACGAAGGAGGCCGGCATGGCAGACCCTATCAAACGCTTTAGAGATATCTAGGGCCACCGCCCGAGTTTCTCCGTTATTGTGGAGTGCTTGGTAAACAATTTCAGTTATAGCCGGGAGCTCATCAGCTGTAGAACGGGCAAAGCGAAAACCATATTCCTTATCAGAGAGTAGATCATGGGATATAAGGTGATTAACCACTTCAGTTTTGATTAAAGATTCAAAGACTTTGCCAAAGAGTGGGAGGAGACTGATAGGACGCTAGATAGATGGGTCAGAGAGGTCTCCAGAGTTCGTAAAGACAGGTGCAATAGATGACGACTTCCAACAGGCTGGAAATCAAGATTCATTGAGGCAGTAGTTATATAATTTGGAGAGGGCATCAGCCATTTCAGGAGCACATTTCTTCAGAATGACTGGTATCCCGTCTCCACCGCTAGCTTTATGGGAGTCTAATTTTGATATGATGTCCAATACCAACGATGGGGTTATATGAAACTCGCTCAATATAGCCTCTGTTCTAAGGGAAAATCGGGTGTGGGTACACCGGATGAGAGAAGCGTGGAGATGGAAGAGAATTTCCGAGCAAAGCACTCAGCCTTATAAGCTGAGGAGGCCAGGACCTCAAATTGGTTGGGCAAAGGAGGTATTGAAGTTTTGCTGTTGTTAAGTACGCTATTGCTGATACTTGAAGCCGAATTTTGGAGATGCAATACGTTGCTTCAATCTATCAGCAAATAGTGATTTTACTTCATTGAGGACACGCTTGCACTCGTTATGGGCTGCGATAAAGAGACGTCTGTTGCAATCTGACACGATATAGGCGGAAGAAGTGATTCCCATGGGCAAGGGCAGCTGAGCAAGCAGCAGAGAACCAAGGGGAAGAGCGGGATTTAACATTATATTTCTAGCGGGGATGAAGGATGGGTTAATTTATTTGTTTTTCATGTAAATAAACAAACAAGCCAAACCCGCCAAAATAACCGTCAGAAATAATTACCCACATTGCACCATTGACCCATATATATAAATAGTCGAGGAAAAATCCAACATTGGCGGCCTGATGATTGCGCCTAGCATGAAAAGCCTGTTGCCTCTGAGTATTGACGTCAATGTTCATTTTATATGTTTATATTATATATATATATATATATATATATATATATATATATATATATATATATATATATATATATAAAGTGCTCCAGACGTGAACTACGAATTAGAGATGTTAATATCGAACAAGCACAAAAGTTTAAATATATGGGATGTTTTCTTAACAAAGGAGAGAATACGTAACACTGAATTTTGAACGCCCATTGTAATAGTATAAAATACATTCTAAATCTTAAACAGAATAGAAAATAACAGGAAATTTCATCAGAAACAAAGAAAAGAGGTGCTGGATTGCTTTTTGATATCCATCCCTTAATATAGCAGTGAATGCAGGAACAATATCCACACAGATGGACGGAACACTAGAGGCAGTTGAAATGTGGTTCTACAGAAGGATACTGATAATACTATGGATCGGAAGCGTAAGCACTGAAGAAGCACGGAAAATAGAAACAAAAAGGGGCCTTATACACAGAATCCGAAAAAAAAAGTAGAAATTTATTGGATACGTAATGAAGAAAGAAAGTTTGAAAAATTTGACCCTCACAGGACAGATGGAAGATAAAAGGGACACTGAAAAGCGACAGGAAACCTAGCTGACAAATTTCTGATGGCAAAAAGACAAACGTTATTTTAGTTACAAGTAAGAGGGTGCTGTGGAGAGCTATGGCCACTCAAGTCCTGAAGCGACTCGGGATAGAGAAGAATAATGCCTTTTCGAATGTGAACGCAGCAAGGTGAGCTGGAAGTTGAAGTCACCACGCCACGCCCATTTTCCACGCCGACAACTATTAAGGGATGCGAACTCCTAGTGCGTTCCTAAATTCGCTGAAATTGCTTTAATATAGAATTACACTTTAGCTAAGGTAAAGATAATACCTAACCAAATGAACAATGTTAAAAGTCACTTCTATTCATAATTTATCTGTAAGACAGAAAAAAACAGAATTCTAACATATGGAACATAGATGAAATCAAAAATAATCTAACAGAATTAAAACGTTCGTTGGTCGATTTGCTGACAGAAATCGCGAGTTCAATCGTTGGGCCGTGTAGAAACTGGTCGAACAATAACTGTACACTATTAAAATAGAAAATATATATCTACATCCGTATATATGAAAAAGAACAATCTTTCACCGTGGATAGAATAAAGGGATTAGCTGGGATTTCCCTAAAGTCTTCCGAGGATGTGTGGGGCTGTACGCTTCAGGTTTTGCGTGTAACGTTTATATAACTTGCTCTCCTTTGATTGCCTTATATCTATATATCCTAAGTTCAATCAGATCCACTTGTAACTTTTATCGACGCAACCAGCCTGTGAGACTGGATTATGCACACGGTTGCTATCAGGATACCTTCTCGAACTTTAGATGTTCTATGCTGACATGATGCATAGGTTTGTTATATCTAAATTTGAACCTAAAATATTTTGGTCACTGCCCTATAAACGCTGTTATATCATAAGTTCTTGATTTATATTGCATTCAGACTAGACCTTTGGTATTACGTGGCGATAATGATTAAACTACACTAATTATTTCCTGTATTTTTTTTAATTCAGAGATTAGCAATCACTTCTTTTTCGCATAGCACTTAAAATAATGTTTACAATTCAAAGTTTGATTAGCGGTAAACCGGTACAAATGTGCCATCAGAAGTAAATTGATATTCATAGAGAACAGGAATTTCGGTTCGAAAAATTTAATTAGCGTAAAAATAATAAGTGAATTGAATGTTCCTAACCTAAGTCTAATCGGATTGAAATTATTAATCACAAATATACATCAGATATTACGTTAATTAGCGTTACACAGAAGAAATTATTTTAAATTGAAAGCGAAACAGTGATTGTAAGAAGCTGCAGGCGACAAGACAAGTTTATATTTTGCAAGGAATTCTGTCAACTTGTTGCTTTAGGGATCTTCTGAATAATTGATACAAGAAGATCTATCAGTAAATAATCACATTTTAATTATCAAACACATATACACGCACACATACATACAAATATACACATGCATATAGGTAGAGAGATAGGCATTATTTATTTTTCAAATACTAATATATAATTTGAGAAAATGAATATGTCTGAGTATGCTCATAACCAATAGAGAATGAATGAGGTAACATAATAATTTGTATCTATAAGCACACACACACACACACACACACACATACATATATATATAATTTTAAAATGGCTATATTTAGAGAAGAATGCATAGAATGTTAGGACACAGGAATCAACATTACATTTATACATAATAGAGACACTATTCAAGTGGTGAAAGTGTGTTTGATGATTAAACGCAATCTTCAGGACATTTTTTACTTTAGTGTCCAGTCTTATATGTGAATGAGCAATTTTTATCCATAAATATAGCATAACATCTATCTATCTATATATATATACATATATATACCTTAAAAATCAGGAGGTCAATTAAATACGCGACCTTGGTTTCGATCTGACGGTGTCTTCGGTCGATATTTTTAAAAATGACCATCTTAACGCTACATAATTATTTTTCAAAATAAATTAACAGGCGCATGACGATCGAAAAACGTGACATTCAGTATAATAGAAAGGAAGTGGGTATTAAGAAGAAAGAAGAAAAAAAAATGAAGGGTGAAGAAAAGTAAAGAAAGGAACGGTAATGCAAGTGTAATGTAAATGTATCCAGTAAAGAAGAAAAATAAATATGTAACTTAAATATAATGAGGATAGGGAGGCTAGAGTATCTTAA